AAAATAAAATGTATACATTTTTGTTCTGAGAATAAATTCGCTTTACCCTTCAGTCAATGTTAGGTTAGGTATTTTTTTTTAGAGATGATATCACTTCACGGACCACTAGTGGTCCGCGGACCACACTTTGAGTAACACTGCTCTAGCAGTATTCCTTGTCCAGCCCCCCACTCCCCTTGATGCAAACTGACTCACTCAGGGTGGTGTGAAGCTATACTGGGGGGGAAGAGAGCTGAAGTATGGCACCCCCGTTCCACCTGTTAAATCTGAAAAAGTGCAGGGTGGGGAGAGCGGGAGCGAACGTACCCATACTGCTCCAAGCCGCAGGCTAGCATGAGGAACATCAGGCCGACTGCCCCACCAAAGGACAGCCCCACCAGTGCTGGAAGAGAGAGCAGACGGCAGGCAGATAACCCCTCAGCAAACAGTCGTCACTTCAGGTCTGTCTCACGAAAGCAGCGCATTATCTACTAAACTACTGCTGCCCTCTAGTGGACAAAAAATGCATTTCATTTGACCAGATACCTCACACCATCCAACCATCACTTCTAATCAGGGGTGTCAAAGCTGCACGGATACCCTGATAGATTCAGGGGCCCAGCAGTACAGGGGCCCCTGAATATACCAGATCATTAGTTATATGCTTGAGGTACATTATACAAAAAAATGAGAAATTTTATAGTGGGGGTTTCCCTCAGACCCCTTACATGACAAATTGTATCATCAGGGGGTGGCATTCTTCAGAAAGCAGCAACCTTAGCTGAGGGCCCAAGGTGGAATTTTGTCAGGGGCCCCAGAAGTTCTAGCTAATGGAAAAGAGTGACAAACTATCAACCCACAGTTTTCTAACACCTGAAAACTACTTCTAAAACTACACTGTAAGACCGCCTCTTAATAAAAATGGGGCGGGACGTTTCTAAGGGCGCATTTTTACACCTCCAGAGAGCGGCTGCGTGCGAGACGCCCCCTGCTGTCCGTTCGGAGAACAAGCTACCATGTGACGCTACCGGTAGGCGGGACTTCCGTGCGGTGTCAATCACTGCATGCTCTAAAATAATGGGAAGCTTTGACAGTGCAAAATAAACCTACATACAGACCATTTCACATTTCTGTTACAAACAAACAGAAAAAACACACTTCACTGGACCCCCCCATGTAATTTTTCCTTCAAATAAACCGTACTTATTTTCCGATTCTTAGTGTCACTATTACTTCTTAAAGACGTCTGCAATATGCCCCGACAAGAGAATTTGACGTAAAGATTAACAGTTCGTAGTGAAACTGATGAACTACTTAATATTTGGACGGTTAATGATGAAAGTTACTTCATTAAGGCTCACCTTAACTTTGTATTGCGCATGTTGTCCTGTAAGGCACTCTATGTGCAAAATAACACTGTAAAAGTATCCCAATCGATCATAAACTAAATAAGAGAATTAAAAATGGCTAAAAACAGCGTACTGTGTGTGGGAGACACCAGACTACGTTTTTAACAAGACTACTTTCCTTGATCCGAGACACCATCGATGACTAATAACTTTCAACAGTTTTGTCCCTTTGTCAGGTTAAACAGACTTCAGTTAGATTTGCATGTAACGTGTCATTACGTTACAGTTCCTTTAGTTACACCGTAAATGTTAAGCGCAGTAAAACTAATATTCCATGTTTTCCTACGCATTAAAAGTGGCGGAAGTGATCTGGCGCAGCTAAGTGACTGGAGTCTTTAAACTGGACTTTTCTAATTCAGTAAATTAACACCTAAATGGTGAAACAGAAATAAACTTTAATTTTGTCACGCATCACAGTAACCGTATAATAGGACGCCTGTTTTTTATGTTTGGCTTTTTCCTCTTTTGTCTAACACTGACAAACTCCCAAAGGCAAAGTCACAGCTTTTTACTTTCGCTTTGGTCGCGCAGCCCACAGACGGGACCCCGGCCCCCTTTACCTTTAATCCCGGCCATCTTCTCAGTTAGCCAAGATGGATTTGGTTAACTTCATAAATGACTGTTTTTCGCCTAAAAACAGCGCCTGGCAGGTAGTTTGGAAAAAGACAAGACGGACCTAGACAGCCATATCCGAACCCGCCCTCTTTCCTGCCAGCCAATTGCTCCGGTGTTTCTATGGGAAAGTCCGCAGTGATTCCCGGCTTGTGGGGGTCCCTGTCAACAGGGTGATAATCCCAGCCCTGAAAAGTGATCCCTATGTGAAAACTGGCAATAATTAAAATTACGGGCCATATTAAAATTTCCAGTTTGTTCCATATTTCCCTAAATGCAGCTATATTCATTTAACCGAAATGTAAATCATTATGTAAATCAGCTGCGCGCAAGTCCTACACCGGATTTGGGGGAAGAGTTGGGGGTGAGCAGAACAGTCCCAGGTTTAATCGAACAATGTGTTTGATAGTCAAGGTACAAGAAACGGCGACAGGGGAAAAAAGTCGACAACAATTTCATTTATATGTATTTATTTATTATTACATTGGCCCCCGTAAGATTTAAAACTAATTAGTTTACCCTCAAAAAATGGGGTAATTTAGCAGGCTCCTAAAAATGTATCTATATTGATGTGGTATATAAATTAAAATGTATAATATTTAAAATTTTATGCGTTGTTTTGGTTATGTCTTTATTTCAGCTGACTGTTTTATTGCCTTTCTTTTAAATGGACATACAGTGGTACCTCAGAACTCGAATTTAATCCGTTCAGAACTCCGGATCGAATCCTAAAAAGTTGTGATCTAATTTTCCCCATAAGAAATAATGGAAAACCAATTAATTGGTTGCAGGCCCAAAAAAATGACACCTAATTTTGTTTTTTTTTTAAAGCATTTAAACACAAAATGAAGCGGATAAAACAAGAAGAGCATATACTGTACTAAACACATCTAAGTACATTTATCAAAACCGTAATTTATAAAGTAAGAAAATAAATGTATCCAAACAATGTGTCCTACCCCGATCGTCCGCTCTTTCCGTGTGCCACGCCCCCTCGTTAAACCCATATGGAATCCCAGTGTGATCAGCTGTTTCTGGTTGTTGTCATTAGTCCTCTGTATTTCGTCCGCGTTTCAGTTTGTTTCCCCAGCCCGGTCATTGTATTGTTCGTCTGCGTTTTGCCTGCCTTACTTGTAATTAAACCCCGTATTCCCGGATACCCTGACCATACCTGTCAAGTTTTGGATTTGAAAATAAGGGAAATTTTCCGGCACCCACCGCGAGCTATAACACCACCCCAACGAAGCTCCAGTATCCCTTACATTTTAAGACAGGTGTACAAGAAATCTAAAATAACCACTTGTCATTTACATTTTATTTTCATTACACATTTTATTTTCATTTCTCATGTTCACTGGTGTGGCTCTCTGGCATTCACTAATGACTTATTAAACAGATTTGTTGCAGACTTTGTATCCTTGTTGAAGTCGTCACAGAAGGTGAAAGTAACGTTGTTTTTCGCACACAGCATTGCAATTTTAACCTCCGCATTTATGACCTGGTTAATGTTGTAAATGACCTGCAGACTACTGCAGGTGGCAGTTCTCGCGAGGCTACTGGCAGTTCAGTTTGGAGAGGCAGAGGATTTTTTTTAACTGATATTATAATACGGGAGATTTACGGGAAAATAGTAATACGGGAGGACGGCAGGAAAGAGGGGTAAAATACGGTAGTTTCCCGGCCAAAACGGGAGACTTGACAGCTATGACCCTGACGTCTCCGCCTTTGTCTCCGTTCTGTCCCCTCTCGACACAACAATATTATTATAATTAAATGTATTAATGGTTTATTATTAATATTAAATACAGTGTTTGACCCCCTTTTGTCTTCAGAACTGCCTTAATTCTACGTGGCATTGATTGAACAAGGTGCTGAAAGCATTCTTTAGAAATGTTGGCCCATATTGATAGGATAGCATCTTGCAGTTGATGAAGATTTGTGGGATGCACATCCAGGGCAGGAAGCTCCTGTTCCACCACATCCCAAAGATGCTCTATTGGGTTGAGATCTGGTGACTGTGGGGGGCATTTTAGTACAGTGAACTCATTGTCATGTTCAAGAAA